GAAGGCTCTTATATACGTTTTTGTTTTATTTAAGCTGCCTGGGGGGAAAAGGGAGAAGCTATTACAAAAATGAGCAAATTTTTACAATACCTTGACACTCCCTCATGTCACTTAATGCCTGTTTTACATTTTCATTCAATGCACCAAGCTGAATATTTTTTATCAGTTGATGGTTGCTGCATCAGTTGAGAACATTTGAGAGCTCTGTGCATGCTCTGAGTTTCCACTAGAAATTAACAAATCATTTTTGGTGAGTTGACTAAAAACACAGCTTATGAATCCCTGGAGTTCATGTTCCCCATAGTTTACCTTTTCTTTTTTTTTTTTTTAATTAGTGATATCATACTAGATGATATCTTCTTATTCAGTTACTTTAAAATTTGCTTAACTCAAAATATCAAAGCTTAACCTCTCCCTTTAGGAGTTATTCCCTGCTTTTATCAGTTGGCATTGGGGAACATAGATTCCATATAAGACATTCCAAAACAACAGGAGGTTTCATCACTAAGACAACTGCTATAAATTAAGCAAAGCTATTTTCAAAGCTTTTCTTTTCCATAAGATTACCAACAAGTATTAGTATTTATAATTTTCAGTGCATTCAGTCCTCATTTTTTAAGGATCCCTGTCCAAAGTTTCCCATATTTGACTGACTAGTTAACAGACAATCCAAATTTCCTTACCAGATAATGTGATTCTGCCCCTCTACTCAGCCTTGTTGAGACATAACTGGAGCACTCTGCCCAGTTCTGGGCTCCCTTCTTACAAGAGAGACATGGGCATACTGGAGTAAGGCCAGTAAAGGGCCACAAAGGTCACAGAAGGAGAGCGTGAGACCGCTGGGACTGTTTCAGCCCAGAGAATAGGCTCAGAGGAGTCTTATCAGAGCGTACAAATACCTGACTGGGGAGGAAGTAGCAAAGGTTTGGCCAGACCCTTCTCAGTGGTGCCCAGTGACAGGGCAAGAGGAAATGGGCACAAAATAAAATATGAGAAGTATCACTTCAACACAAGAAAAAACTTGATCCCCTTAATAAAATGGAAATAGCAATATTTCTCCACCTTATCATCAGTCACATCTTGTTATCTCTTACTGGTATATAATTTTTTTTTAATTATTCAGGAAAGTGATGCTCTCCCTTTTAGGGTCACACTGAAATCAGTATGGCATAATGGAAAGCATTATGTAGGTTACTCTGTAGTTTATATTTATTTTACTAATTAATCTATTGGAATTTACCAGAATTATGGATCAGCTTCTACTTACACTTAGCTTCTACTGAAAGAAATTCTCATGAGACCAAAGACCCTGACCACAGTAGCGTAACAGCACTCATGTTAATGTTTTTTTATTAATAACTTTTATTGAAAAGTCAAGCAAAATAAACATGGTCTTGCAAGAAAACAAGAAACAATATGAACAAGTCATATTATTTACAAGAGAGAGAGAAGGAGGAAGAATGAACCATAGCTGGGACTGCTTCTTCTCTCCAAAATGCCATTCTAAGTAATGCATAACCATTCTCTTTCACTGCATTAATATGATCACCTTCCCTTCTACTCCCTCTTAGGTGGTCCCACCTCTATAGGAATCAGTTGGGCTAATTATGACTCTATTTTTTTTTTTTTTAACAGATTACTGTGGCAGTATTGTTGCGATTTATTCACATTTTCATATTGTACCCCAGCAAAACTCATTCAAATAGTCCTTATTCAGAATGATCATGTGGTGATATACTTGGAATGCTAAATGGAATAGAGCATCCTTGGAACACTCATCATTTAGCTATATATTTTGTGACCCTGCAGTTAGCTATATTTATGCTATGTTACTTTATGTTTTAGACCTTTCTGATATGCTTATACTAAGCCTTCCCTAATTCAGGTCATTAGGCCCAATGACTTGGTATATGAATTAAAGTACTAAACGAGGAAAATTTGACCAGAGAATAGGATCATCTCTCCGGAGGAAGACTAATGTAGGACAAAAGGACTTTAATTCCTTCAACTCACTCTGAAAGTACTTTTTGCTTCTAGTATTGTTTTGCCATTTGTGAATGTTTGGCCACGATCTCCTATTTGTCCCAGTGTTGCCATTTCCTTAAAAACTGGCACTATAACATATGAAAAAAGTCAGTAGTGTGGAATCAGAACAGCAATCAGTAATAAGTAAAAGCACTACACAACTGAGTATGTGCATGAGTGTGAGCATTCATGTTTAGAATTGGTAAATGACACAAATACTGGGCTTCTTGCCCAACTTGCTAGTTAACACTGTTCCTAAAACATCCATACAGAGCTTTGTTTCTTTCTAAGACCTTTATCCTCAAGTTCTGTAAATAGGAACGTTTAAAGATAGGGAAACACATACTCACAGATGTGTATTCATTATGCACAGTCAAGGGGAAAGAATTCTTTAGTTAGATCCTTCTTTATGCAGCATTCTTCAAATACTGACAGTTGCAATCAACTTGGTTTGAAGAGGGATGGTATAGTTTTAAAGAAGGCATAAAAAAATTCTTGTTGATACCAGCACACTGCCACTGGATTCAATGACTCCAAATTTGTGCAACATGTCCAAATATCAGCAAGTATATTTTAAACCTGTCTTTTTTGGGTGATGGGGGGGAGGGTTAAACAAGCAAAATGGTTTGTAGTTTTAAGTTTTCAGATCACTTCAGTCCGATTGCCTGCTCTCGTGTATATCTCTACCTTGCTGCAATTCCTCCTCTTACAAAAGAACTTCATTTCCTTAATACATTCCTTTGGGGTATTATTCTCTAGTCCCTGCAAGTGAAGAAGGACCTGTAACAGGACTATGTCCTTTGAGTGAAAAACATATTCAAACTCACTTGCAATAGTAATAATGCAATAACATTGTTTCAAAATGGAATGACCTATACACACACTTCCTCAAGCAAGCATTCTTCACCAATTTATTTTCCTCAGTAGATACAGTTTCCATTCTAAACAGGCCACAATGGAAGTCTATTGCACTATTTGGAGATAATTATCAATGATACCTCTCAAAAACATCCACAGAATGCAGTTTGTAGAATTAATATAAATGATGAAATACAGTCCAAGATAAGCACATGACATACTGCTACAGCTTCCAGTTACGCAAAATTCCATGGGGATCTAATTATTTTAAATGAGCAAAGGAGACTTCAGGAACAACAACAAAATACAGGTAAGTCAAGATTTTAAATTATACTTGAATAAGGAAAACAAAGAAGCTGGGGGGAGGATTGGTCCTATTAAAAAGTCCATAAATATCCTGCAAAGCACCAAAACACCATGAAACCAATACTTTCAGGAATTTCATTCCAATGCCAAGAAACAGAATGTACTCATTGTGACTAATACATTAAAATACTGAAAATAAATTCTAACAGATTAAAAAGATCTTGTAGCAAGTGAAAGGTATAGTTAAACCATTCCAAACCTACTCAAGCTTAAGAGTAGGGCAGTCTTTCCCCATTATTAATAAGAATGTAAGCTGGATAAGTAGACTGGGAAACCATAAATTATGGCCAGTAAAAGTAACAAAACATTTTTTACAAATAAGTTTTTAATTAAAAATGAAAAGACAGCCATTTTTACTGAAGCAATTTGCTGCATATTCTTAAGTTTGGTCTTCTGTGGTCTCCCACACACATACGTTTCCAACAAAATGTTATTAAATGGGGGTGAAACCAGAATACAGTTCTAAATGCAAAATCAAATTCATGTTTTACATGTTTACATTTCTAGGCGGAAATATGAAAATATTTTTAAATCTTGATCACTTAATGCTGTGCTTTAGGGTCAGGAAATATCGCTCACTCCTGCCCATCTGCAGTCCAGTTACATGTGAAAACTGTTGTTCCACAAGGGTAAAAAGCAAGCAACAGAAAAATTGCACACTACTTTCAGGCTTCAGCTGAGCTTTTAAAACACATGGCCAAACACGTTGCCATGGAAATGTTCTGCAAATATATCCAGAATTTCTTAAGATGGAACTGAATATCATTTTTAAAAATAAACTTCTACCATTTCAAATATAATTGCTCTATGATGTATTTAAGGGAAACAATAGCTATTATCTAGCATTTATAACACCTAGGTGATAACAGTGTCTCCAATTCCATTTTGTGCTCAATACATGAAATTAGGCCACTATCTTCCTATGTAAAATACCCATACACTTGGGGTTTATGTACTCTGACTTTCCTATCCATCACCACAATACATTAGCAGATACAAAAGTATCAGCCTTGCGATAAAGTTGGCAACAGTTAAAAACAAAAAGGATGATGCATGCTTCAGTAAAACGAACCTGGTTTTAAAGAACGTTCTAAATATTTAAGTTATTAATCTTCTCTTTTACAACCCATTAGTATTTGTATGTGTCACTGAGTGTAATAATTAAAAAGGGGAGAGTTATCTTGCCAAACTTTCACTGTTATGATCAGTGAGCTATTTTTAAAACTGATTTGAAATGAAGAAAAAAAAAATCTACTACTGCAAAATGAAGCAAGATCTGTGCCTGCAGAATAGCTCAGTCCTGTTACACAATGTGATACGTTGTTTTAAATAACCTGCCACTGTAGGTAAACAGTTGCCTTATATTGCGTTTCATACCACAAACACACACATTCACAATAGCTTTGCGTGCTGTGTAAAGATAAAGCAAAATAAAAATGCAATACAATCTTGTCATTTTACTTTACAGCAAAGGTATAACCTTTTACCACGAATTAGTCAAAGGAAATCATATTCACAATAAAAACAGGTTGAAAATATATATGGAATAAGCTTACATTGTTCAAATAGCAGTTAACAACACATTAGATTTCCAAGATATACATTGCTCTGCTTATGTAAACAGTCTACCCTATAAATCCTGTAGCAAATGCAACATGAAGCAATTACACAGACAAAGAGATTGTAAATGACCTAAAACTGTAAAACAAACCCTTACGTTAGAAATATTAGTATAAACTATGAGGTCATACCTGATGACTTAGAGACTGTAATGTCTCACCGGTTCCGAGCTGCATGACCTTTCTATTTCCAGAGACCCCCAAAAATTGCATTTCCTGTCTTACAAAAGTACATCACAGACCCATCTATCTTTCAAAATCTTCTGGGCTAGTGAAGAAAGCATTAACAGCCATTCTGTCTGTCAGTAAGTGCTGGAGTCATTACCCTCAAGATATCAGATCTTAAATATAGTTTCCTCTGCGCGATTACAGACATCCAGTAGTCAAGGAGGCTGACACAGCTATATCACTGATGCTGCTAATGCCATCTGAAAACAGTAAGCTTACTGCTTAAAGCAATCCTGCATCATCCAAACAGAACAAGCCACATCCTTCAACTCCTCACTTGCGTTTTTTTATAAAACCTAGCGCTGCCATTATAGATTTTGTTTTCATCTGTGGTCAGCTAAAGGAGAAATTAGATATTATGCAACCAGCTTTGCATTAACAAAAGAAAAACAGCAGATGAAGTGACATATCGAGGTTATCAAATTTTGCTTGCATGACCACTCCTCAACGAGCACTATCACCGTTCAGGAGAAGCATCACAATCTGATCCAAAGGAAAATTACCAGAAAGAAATTACAAACAATTCACAGGCAACAAGGCATTTAAATACCTCTGTGGTAATGAAACAGGTATTTTATGCAGTCTTATGAATCCTAGTTCCTATTAAATTAAAAACATTGCTTGCCTAAGTATCTTTAGTGTTTATTTTCAATAAATTGCATGATCACTGCATTGTTTCCATTACTCCCTGCTAGCAGCCAGAAAACAGCATGCCTTGAAAATGTGCCAGTATTATGACAGCAAAAATGTGTTTTCATATCAAACAAAACAATCATGCATGAATTTCTTCTGATACAAGAGACCTTTCAAGCTAACAAATGTACAGTATCCTCCTTACTAATTTTTAAATTATTAAGACTACAACATAATAACTGGACTTTTTATTAAAACACATACTTGATACAAGTGAAATTGATTATTACAAATCATTATTTATATTTATTGTTGCTATCATTATGGCAATAAACTTATGCAAACAAAAAAATCACTTCACAGAACTAAGACAAAACAGTGCCACCAATAAACTGGAAAGAGTTATCATTGAATAGCTCCTCTGAATTCTAGACCCAGAGAAAAATCACTCGTGTTCACACAGTGAGAAAGCCCTGTTGAGGCACTCAGTCCATATGCTTCAACACACAGGAACATCCCCTCAACACATATTGAAATATATTGCTACCGGTCGAATTTTACAGGCAAATAAAACTTGGAGGAAAAAATCTTCCCTAATTTAACTACAGCTGCATGTTATTCAAATGAATTTGGATGTCCTTCTTTTCTTTGAAATATAAGCAGAAGCTGCAGCTAGAAGTAAATGGTTCTAAATTAATTCACCCAGACCCTATTCTGTTAGTTTAGCATTATTATTATTATTATTATTATTATACTGTTGTAGTAATTGCTCTTTTGAGTAACTTAATCAAATTTAGCTTATAGTCATTCACATTATAGCACTGATAAAAGCAAACTGGTCTCATCCATGAATATCACATATTTCCCTTTAGAGACAGAAACTGTCTGCTATCAATTTTTAATTGATTCACTTTATACAGTGTGCAACTGCCTCAACGTAAGGACGCTACACCTACAGGGAAAGGAACTTAGCCACACATTTGCACAGGGTCTCCAGTGATGTGTCCTGTAGCCTAGCAGAGGCCAGTCAGTGAAGCCCTAGGAGGCTTTAAAGCGCAGTAGGGAACCAGTTCAGGCCAGACTTGACACTGCTTTTTATATTCTCCAAAAGAGTTACTCTTGAGGCCCAACAACCCGACACTGTCTTTTTACTGCTGATGATAGCGGCAGTCTGGGTGCCACTTTGAACATTGTGAATGTTCTCGAAAGCTGCCACCCTTAAAGTTTTTCCAGAGTAATTCATTAATTCACTTTCAACCTAGAAAATATTATTAAATCTAAGTGCACAGGATGTAAATACATACACACAAAGATACAAAAGTCCTTTCAAAAAATAGACATGGGTGATTCAGCAGTAAAAGAAGGGGAAAATAGCCTTCCCTGCATCAGTATACCTTGGGAGATACTCCCATTTCAATATTTTTATTTCCAATGGTAATTAAAAAATATATATATATATATATACCAGCACCAAACACTAAGTTATTTACTCCTATGCAAACATTCAGTTCTGCAATACTATATTCTGATCAGTAGCTACTTACAACTACGTAAGGGAGTACAACCTTGCATCTGTAAGTTGCTGGCAACCACTTCCAAGTCCCCACAATCCACCTACGTAGGATACGAAGGCCAGCAAGATGGTAAGAAGTAACCAAATAAAAAACATATGTTGCCAAGGCACCTTTCATAAATATTATGTAGGCTCTCTCTGTGCAAATCTTGTACTACATCATGATCTCCACTCAAAGAGTGAAAAACACAAAGCTAGGAGCTATAACCACAGCTGTCAGAAACATCACTTAAGATTTATTGCTCACAGACAGTACATAATCTCTCCCCCAGCTGGACATTTGAAGAATTCAAGAGCTAGCAAAAGACAAGACAGAATACTATTTTCCTGAGTTAGGTTAAGATCTCAGTACAAATTATAACTGCACTCAGAAATATACAGGTTTTTTTTTCATGCATATTATCCCAGCTAGTGGAATCTTTTACCAGAAGTTATTCCATGTTTTTCCTCATGGCAACACAATTACTATTTTGCAAAAGTGAAAATTTTAACATTTCATTAGCAATGTTAAAACAGAGATAAAAATCTCTCTGAGGGTATAAATACAATGCTATTTTATAAAGTATAGATATTTATTCTGAGAGATGTTAAAGCAAAAATCTGGTATTACATTCCCTTTAGAATATCAGCAGGTATCACTTCATACCATACAAAACTCAAAAATATAGTTTGCTTCCATTTCATTTTTCTTTACAGGAAACAAAGAAAGAATAAAAAAAGAAAAAAGCCAATTCAGAATTCCTGTGGATTATGCAAGGTGAAATAATGGTCACTTTGAATCTATCACAAATCAGCTTCATATCAAAAAGACCTGACCTAAGCAGTGAGTAAGCAAACAACAGAAGCTCTGTCACTCCCCTTTTTAAATTAAATTTAAGTCATGTTTGCTAATACTAATGAATACATAGAGAATGTTTGAGATTAGTGAAAGGTACTGTAGATTGTAAAAGTAAGGTGAGATGATATAGTGCTGTACCAAAAGAGCTAGAAGAACAATACTAATGCATATACCTCAGCAGCATTTCGGGGGATCAATTTTACTGTATATTTTTATTAATGACCAGAGCACCATTTGGGTTTGTTCAAAGATTTCTGATACTGGAAGGCGCTGATAATATATGAGGAATGGAACATCACCCCGAAGACATGGATTACCTTTAGGACCACAAGAATAAAACTGGGGTAAAATTTAATAATGCAAAATGCAAAAGATGTGAACTTATAAATTATTAAGTTTCTGCTAAGAATTGAGAGCTCAGCAGTCGAAAATTACAGTGGATGAAACTGTGGGGACAAAGCTGATCACGGAGTAATTATGAGCTACCAACAAGATGTCCCTATGGAAATGAAATCTTAGAATTATCAAGGAAGATATTTCTAGTACATCAACGTCAACATTAATGCAATATCTTGAAGCTCTATTAAAATCTTGATTCTGATCATCTATGCCTAAAAAAACAAATTCAAACTGCAAGAGATAAAGGCTTCTACAATGGTCAAGAAAATTTTGAGAAGAAACTGAAAACATTTCCTTTGTTTAGCTTAACAATCAAAAGACTAAGGGGGAGATCTGCCTAGGTGTCAAGACAGAAGTGCCAAGGAAGAAGAAAAAATATTCAAATAAAAGAACCATTTTGGAACAAGCAGAAATCCATACAAACTTGTCATTAATGTTTGGGGGTTTTTTAACTACAAGAGGTTGAAGGTCTACAAGAGCGGAAAATCAAACTCAAAGATCAAGAGCATGCCTTTCACTCCTATATTTCTACAAGAGACAATCATGAAAATGCAGACAAGAGAAGAAAAAAGAAGAAACTTAAGGTACAGCAGAACTGGTACCAAGAGCAGCACCTAAGGAAAAAAGCGGAGATTGCCCTGGAGCTCAACGTTGATTGGAAATAAATTTAGAATCCTGAATCAAAAAAAGTAAACAAAAAAAAACCCAACTCAATTACAGTTGGTTTCTCCTGTACTGAAGACACCAAGCTTTCATCTCAATATGTAGAATGGTATTAACAATATAAATAGCTCAGCAATTTCTCTTAACCAAAATAATTCATCAGTACTTAAGTTTCAGCTGATTGCTCACATCAACACAGATTAAAAAATATCTTTGTACTTGAGTGGAATAAGCTCAAAAGTAATTAATGATAGCCCATTCCCCTTTAATCCTAACGACAGGACTGTTTCAATTACCTTTCTCTAGTCTACATATGTATCTAGTTCTCCCGTGAAATTACTGGGAGGTTTTTGTTGTAAATACCCTTCTCTAGACAAAAAGGAATACCATCTAAAAGATACAAGTTTAAATTTAATTAACTGAGTAAAAACTTGTTATATTTTATGGACATACTTACTATGTTCTCTCAAATGAGATACTGTTCAAAGACTCTCCTTTTGTGATTATTTCAACAGGCATTACGTAAGTCTAATCAGCTCATCTGTGGATAACCATGACTGTGTTCAAAGGAAACTCAAAACATTTATAAAACAAAACAGGAAACAAGCAGAGGCAGACCTGAACCATGGCTACACAGCCAAAATTTGTATATGAACTGCTTGGTTCCAATTCTGCCTAAAAGTCAATGTAGCTGTATCAAAACCTGCCTTTCCAAATACCCCACTGTCAGTGTTGCTGTATCGTATCACTAAAACTCAAGCTTGTACCTCAGACCAGTCCCTGATGATCCAGATCACTGCAATACAGGTTGCCAACAAAGTGGAATAAATGTATAATACACAGTTTAAAAACAATGAAAAGAAAGGAAGATTTCTATCCAGTATTTTACCTTTAAAAACAACTTTAAAATGTCCGGCATCCCATTTCCCAAAAGATAATATAGAGAAAACAGACATCTCCTTTCTCTCAGACTGCTGAGGAGCAATCCTATACTTACAGTGTATGTAAGACATTGGTTACTTATATTTGTTCTTGGAAAAATACAGAAAATAAAAGAGTACAAAATCTCCTCAAAGTTTGCAATTGCACATTTAT